AAGTTAGTATTAAGTTTGTCAGCCACATACCTGCAATGGTGCTATGCTCCCGGATGCAACAGCAGGTGGAGAATGTGAGAGAGGCACGAGCACACCTGAGTAGTTGGGTGGTCCAACTCATTTCCGTGAATCGGTTCTTTTGAACGGTTCATTTAGAACAACGGTTTCGCGTGGATCCTATTCTTTTACGTAAACTTCCGCGTAAACATTATTCCAATACGATTTATTTTTAAAAGTTTCGCTTTTTGGTTATTGAGGTAACTTACTTAATTGTGCCCCATTAGTTAAAACCTCGGTTTATTACATTGGTCTCAGCTCATTCATGGTTCTCTTGAGGGAATAGCCTACAAACATCACAGGTTTCTGAAATTGATTAAAGTTAATTCGTTTAAATTGAGTTTAAATGTATTTTTCCCAGACCATGACAGTGTTTTAGCATTTAAAATCGTTTGATTGATTATTCCTTTAACAGAAATGTATAATTATTTAATATAGCTATGCCAGTAAAGTTGAGTAACTAACAGCTGTCTGTGTGCCACTGTTATTATTGGAAAATGCTACGTGTGCAATAAACGTCATTAAACAAATATGTTCTATCAGCGCCACCTCAGGTCAGTGTACCTCAATGTTTTCGACTGCTCTATTGGAGCAGGCATTTCCAAATTGACATTTTCTGTGATCATTTCTATAACCAGCTAAGAAACATTTATTATATAAAGTCAGCCTATTAAAATCACTTTAAGGTATGCCTACTCTTAATTTTAGCCATGTATACATAAATGATTTAACACCATTTTAAAACCCAGCCTACATTTTTGTGAGCGTGAATCTCAGAGGTGGAAATGTGCTAAAAGTCATGAAACTGTCACAATGCAATGTGGATTAAGACGCAAGGAAATACCACTCAACAACTTGATGTATTTGGAAATTTAATATTACACAACAAGAGGCACGCAATCAAAAACATCCAATCAGAACTTTTTCTCCATGTCTTAGGCAAAGTACTGCATTAAAGTATATTCTATGGGAATAATTCGGCTACAATAAAATGGATACATATAAAAAATATAACCAGTGTACAAAGACAGTCAGAGTACATGCACTCCCCAATAAAATTAAATGTCTAAAACTATTAAGAAGAGCTCTCTTACTAAATAAAACCATTCAGTTTTCCAGTCGAATTAAACTTGAAAGAAAACAATCATCCACCATCTGTAACACCATCAGACTTTGATGCTCAAAATACCTAATCAATTAAGAAAAACAGTCATGTGTCAGGATATGGATATGACCTTTTACCAAAAGCAATTGATCTTACAAAACACATCACACAATTTACTAAAAGAAGTTCTTCCCTCAAATTATCATTTCACTTTTTTCAATTTCTGGAGCAGTAATTATCGATTAAATATTTATAATGCAGGTATCACGTGACATTGAAATGATAAATAACATCCTAAAAATCCTCTGAGTATGGGATCCATACAAGGTCTTTTAATCAGTTTGTAATCATTAAAACTGCATTCAGAGGCAATTCATAGAGAGGACAGTACATTTGTAATTTTACAAACAAGAACACAAACATGATTTTGTCACAAAAGTTGTGCTGATAGTCATCAGGGACCATAGGAATGAGTAAACCGAAATGGCAGCAAATATTTTTAAATCGTGTTGCACTCTCTCTATATACGTACTACACTCCAAGAAATGTGCACAGCAAATGCACAACTCAAAATATACAACCTATTTACAACATGTAAAAACAAAGGAACATTACAGGAATGTTTAGGCACATAAAATAAACTGTAATCAAAAGCACAGAAAATCTCTTTGACACTCAGAACATGCTGACTATGAAAAAACTCACACAGGACTGCTCTTAATGGGCCTCTTTCACAAAACATGAGCAGAACAAATCTGTGTAAATTGTTCATACAACCATTCAACAATTTACATAAGAATGTTTTTTTTTTTAAATGATTTACAAAGAAAACCAATGAGTGTAAAGCTTGGCATGATACTACTATTATAAATCATAAACCTAAGATTAATCAAGATATGGGGGCAAGCAGGTAAATTTCCATAAACAATCTGAGAAAACAGAAACAAAGCTTTTACGGTAATTTACATGATTAGTTAAGATAACAAAGAGATATGTGCAATAAACAAACGTTATGTGTACATATACATATTAGTTCAACTGTACCAAACATTACACTTTATTTTTTGTTCTATATTAATCTAATAAGTAACAGCGAGTGATGCAAAGACATATTTGCTAATGAATAGGTGTTTTGAGACCAAGAAAAAGCATAGAAATATGATCTCAGGCCATACATTCTTAAATCATCTTTCTTGATTTCACTCAAGACTGATATAGACTATATCAGATTTGTACATTATGAAGAGGGAAGGTGGGAATTGAAAAGTGCTTTAAAACAATAACAAAAACGGCCTATGAGCTCAACATCCTATTTAATGGGTAATATTTATCAGTTCATGAGTGCATCTGGAAACTCAAGAAAACAGACTGTGAACAAATGAAATCAAAGTGATGAAATGCACTAACCGTTGAGTCAAGAACTAAATCATTCACAATGATAACAAATGAAAAAGTGCATATCTGCTGTTGCCCTGGACAATTGCTAAAACTGCATCCCCAAAATGTAGGATATGTGAAAAAAACTTCTACAGGTGCCTTGTTCTCCATGTCCACCTCAAATCTGATTAGCAAGACAGTCTCTAACGGTTCTATCTATTGTTTTGATCCAATAACCATAGGAGAAATGTGCACAAACATTTTTTCGTGATTATATAATCTTATTATATAGATTTATGGGCTAGGTCCATATAAACTCAGTATGACTATACCTGCAGATTGCTCAAAACAAAATAGACTGTCTTTGAGAGAATCTTTCAGGGAGCAGTGAAAGCAAAAAATATATATATTAGAAAAAACATTTCAACAATTAAATGCACAAACAGATTAAATACATTTAGCTTACAGCGACAGGGGCAAGCAATGTTACTTATAATTAATGTAATAGTACATTAAATCACAAAGACAAAGAGTAAGTGCCTTACTCAAGTCTAGGGCATCAAAGTAAGGTCCTTTCAGTACCTCTCCAGGCAACATGTTACGAAACTAATCGAAAACAAAACAAACTGATTGTTATGCTAGGTTAAGGTAGTTTCTATAGACCTATATTATTAGGTCAGTCCATTGAGTCTGTTGCTCCAGTAGAACACTAACAAGAGGACAAATCGGAATTGATCTTTGTAAAATTTTCTCTTGGGGAAGCCACATTAACCCAATAATTTGGACTACTAAAACAGCAATGCAGTAGTAGCTTGGATGCTTGATTTTAGAACGCACACACTAACTAATTTGCCAAGCCAAAGTGCATTATCGAGCACTACATTTGTACAGTCATGGCCAAAAGTTGTCAGTGACACAAATTGTGTGTTTCGCAAAGTTTTCTGCTTCAGTTGTTGTGGTGTTGATACACACCGTTTCTAGATTATTGTGATATGATGCATTTTAAAATTATTACAAAAAGCTTTATTGGCCAAAGAAAAAGAACCTTAAGCCAAACTTCACTGTTTTTTGGCCTTGGCACAAAATGACCAGCTAACATCATTTCACTAATCATATCAGCACATGGGAAAGTGTGAACAAAAACTAGTGAGGTAAAATTTCTCTATCATTCTGATTGGATTATAAGAGCAGACTGATTGTTATAAAAGGAGGAAAAAAGTGCTTCAAATCATTGTGTTAGCAATGGTTACCTCCAAAGAAAGACGTGCAGCCACCATCGCTTTGCATCAAAATGGCCTTACATGCAAGGAAATTTCTGCAAAGAACATTGCACCTGAAATAACCACTTACCGGATCATCAAGACCTTCAAGGAGAGAGGTTCAACTGCAGTTAAGAAGGCTTTAGGATGTCCCAGAGTGTCCAGCAAGCGTCAGGACAGTCTCCTCCTGAGGAGTCAGCTACGAATCAACTCATTACTAGTGCAGCGCTTGCTCAGTATTGGCAACAAGTGGGTGTGAGTGAATCTGCATGCACAGTGAGGTGAAGACTTTTGGACAAAGGCCTGGTGTCAAGAAGGGCAGCAAAGAATTCACTTCTCTCCAAGAAAACCATCAATGACAGACTGAAATTCTGCAGGCAGTACAAGGATTGGACCACAGAAGATTGGTGCACAATTGTTTTCTCAGGTGAAGCCCCCTTCCGACTGTTTGGGACATCTGGTAAATCGATTGTCCGGAAAAGAAAAGGTAAACACTGCTGTGAGTTCTGTGTGATGCCAACAGTGAAGGATCCATGTGTGGGGTAGCTTTTCATCCAAGGGAGTGGGCTAGGCTCTCTCAAAATTATGGCCAAAAACACTGCCAGGAATAAACATTGGTATTAAAACATCCTGCAAGAGCAACTACTCCCAATGACCAAGGAGCAATTTGTTGATGATCCGTGCATTTTCTTGCATGTCTGGAGCACAATGTCACAAGGCAAGAGTGATAATGAAGTGGCTCAGAGATCATTAGATTTAAATTTTGGATCTGTGGCCAGGCAACTCCTCAGATCTTAATGCTGTAGAGAACCTGTGGTCAATCCTCAAAAGGCAAGTGGACAAGCAAAGGCCCACATTGTTATCAACTCTGAGCACTAATAAGGCAAGAATGGATAACCATCCGTCAGGATTTGGCCAGAGCGAATTGCAGAAGTTATAAAGAAGGGTCATCACTGGAAATAATGACTCTTTGGATATATCGAACGTTTTTACCAATTAAAGCCTTTAAAACTTATGAAATGCTTTTCCAGTAAACCATAGAAACGTGAAAAAATAATCTACAAAATACTGAAGCAGCAAACTTTGCAAAACACGAAATTTGTCACTGCCAATTCGTTTGACCATGGCTGTTATACACAAATAATGCAATGACACATAAAAAGTATTCCATAGTCTCCAATAGAAGTGCTGATAATGAAATCTAACATGTGTATCACTACTTTAATTCTCACACATGCATGATTGCTTAAAGATGGAAAATCATAAGTATTTGCACAGAGATCACATTGCCCTCACTGACAGAATTATAAAGTGCCTTTAAAATGCTTCAAATCATTAAAAGCTCTTGTTTAGCCAAATGTTTGGCTGCTTGTAGCATCCGGAGATGAAGTTAGTTGAGTTCTTGTTTCATTAACAAGAGAGAACTCTGGAAAGTCTGTTCCTCCATGACCTCTCAAGCTAACTTGTCCACTTGCAATGCTAAACTGTGAGGATATTCCAGATCGTGAGCTCGGGAATTGAGATCGAAAGTTCTGGTCGAAAGTAGCAATCTGAAATGTCTGACTGATGCTTTGCGCGTCTGTCTTTTTGGGAGAGGTTACTTGGTCGAGGAAGTCCTCCGTCGGTGAAACTGAGGAAGGGTTTGTCTCGTCACCTGAAAAGGAAAAGGAGTGTTGGGAATCTACTAAAAGGCTAAAGTTAGGTTTCTCCAAGGTGGATCTCAATGGAGAGTTCATGCTTGGTCTGAACCGGGATGGGGAAGTGAACTGCTTCTCTGTGGAAAACAAAGGCTGGCCAGCGAGACTGGCACTGTCATTTACAAACGTAAGACTCTGGTTGTTCAGGTAGGTGTCGTTCTGACTGGTCCTTTCCAGAGCTTGCTGGAGAAACTTGGAATACTCATGCAGAAGGCTGGCCTTCTCGGCCGGAGGCGCTTGTGAGCTGGTTCCCAAAGCCTCGTTGGGACTGCTCTCATCAGAAGAGTTGATAGAGATGCTGGATGTGACCTCGGTGTCCGCCACACTGAAGGAAATCTCTGCTTGGCCATTGGCCTTATTGGAGTAGTGATCGAGAAGCGTCTGCAGGACCTCGTCTGGAAGGACATTCTTCTCGCTATTGGACTTGATTTCCACGTTCAGTGTCTGAGTCTCAGAGAGGATTGTGGCGGGAACAGTCTCATCAATGACGCTCGCTACAGCTGCCTGAGTGACCGAGGGCTGCGACACGATGCTGCTCACGTTAAGAGCATAGTCTCGACTAGTGTTAGCCATGGTCGCCTGGAGGTATCGTTTCTTCTTAAGAAACTGCATGGCGTCGTCATAGTTTGTGCTGCTCCTGGTTGGTTTTGCTTGTCCTCCTTGTAGGGTCTCAACCGAATCCATGTCAGGATTTGTCTCGACATCTAATAGGCCTTTGTTGTCCACAATCTCAAACGTGTATCTCGTTACTTTGCTCTCTTCGAATGAGGACAAGGGAGAAAGACTCTGGGACGGTTCTAGAGCCTGTTGTTTCAAACCTCTCCTGCTGGCGATTTTCTTCAGCACCAGTTTCGGAGGACTAATTATCTCATCATTAGACTCCTCCCCTGCAAGATGCCTGTTACCAGGCGGGGAATCAGGGAGCTCAACGGAATAATCTGTAACTACATACTCGTCCTTCACCTTGGTGGCTACAGCGTAAAGAGGAAGACACTCACTTTTGGCAAGTTGGTCTTCCGTCTTCTCCTCGTTATCAGCTTCAACCCCTTTGTCAATAGTGGGACTTGTGAGCAAGACCCGACTTTTATCAGAGGTCTTCTGACGTTTCTTCTTGGGAAGGGTAGATTCCTTGGCAGGAAAAGAGAAGCCCAAGCTCTCTGGGGTGCGAAGAGGGCCATCTTTGGCAGCTGCTTTCTGCACCTTCCTGTCCTTATTCTCATGGCACATTCGTCTGTGCTTCAGTACTCTGTCAGTTCTGGAGAAAAACTGTTAGGAAAAAGATATAACATTATTTTGTAGTTTGTATAATGCATGCTAACAATTTAATTGACTAGTATCGAATCTGATTTGCTTTGGACTGCCCTTACCTGATGGCAGTAGTCACACTGGTAAGGCTTCTCCCCACTGTGTGTCCTCTTATGTCTCTCCATGTGGTATTTCTGAATAAATTTCATTCCACACTCATCACAGCGAAATGGTTTTTCTCCTAAAAGGGAGACATGACAGGCTTTTACACAATATAAAATAACAATTTAGGAAAATCAAGTAGGTCTACTTTTCACCCTGTCAAAGTATGCCTAGACTTGTTTTCTCAGTGTATAAAGATGTACCACAAAACAGGGACTTGCAATGGACCACATTTATAAATAGATCATTGACTCAGAAGATTTCACTGTACATGTCTAACAATACCCTGGAGATAAATATAAATGACATTTCTTTTTTGCTACTGGTGTAATGTTTTTAATCCCTTTCTGCTTACCTGTGTGGATTTTCTCATGTCTCTGAAGCAGGTACTTCTGAATAAAGCGCATGTCACATTGATTGCACTGGAAAGGCTTTTCACCTGCAAAAAAAGTATATTTTTGTACACCTTTTTGGTCTTTATATGTCAATTATTCCCACAGGACCAAGACAATACACCACTTCACTTACCTGTGTGAATGAAGACATGTCTTTGTAAATGGTAGTTTGTCCGAAAAACAGCATTGCAGTGCTCACAGACATGAGTTTTTGGGTTCTGGTGCCCAAGGGAGCCATCTTCATTAATAGTGAGAATCTATCAAGATGGAATACAGTTCAAAACTACTTTATCTTTCATGCCTGTGCTCCTTTGGAGCGTCATGATGTTGTATGTCTATAACACTGTATGGCTAACCAATACCATAAAAAAATAACATTAACCCTTAAATTAGTTTTGCACCACTGTTTTGTACTATAAAATATCCCTCACTTAAAGTACTAAAAGCATATTGTTTCTTTATCAGTTGCATCTCAGATGCATTATATTAAACCTTTGCAGGCGAGCGCTGCTTTCTCTTCTTTTTTTTGTGACAGTCGGATGGGTCCCTCCCCGGTTTCTTCTCCTTTTTATTCAGAATCAGTGAGTCTGGTACTTTCATCTCCTGCTTTATATTGACCTAACAAAAGAAGCGGCAACAACAAAAATCATTAATTAAATTTTAAGTGCTCTTTAAAAAAGTAAAATATTTGTTAGATAGATAGATAGATAGATAGATAGATAGATAGATAGATAGATAGATAGATAGATAGATAGATAGATAGATAGATAGATAGATAGATAGATAGATAGATAGATAGATAGATAGATAGATAGACAGACAGACAGACAGACAGACAGACAGACAGATAGACAGACAGACAGACAGACAGACAGACAGACAGACAGACAGACGGACGGACAGACAGACAGATAGATAAAGCTCGAACGGCTGTACACTTACTGGCATGTTGAGTGTATAATGTAGTTTATGGGAGATTCGCTGTGAGAAAGCTGGTTCATCCTGTCCGTCATTTTTCACTGTCTCCTCATGCACCATCAGGTCATCATGGGATATCAGATCATGTGAGGTCAGGCCTCCACCTGCCAGGTCTTCATCATCATCATCATCATCGTCATCATCATCCTCTGCCAAAAGGGGATGATTAGCCAAGCTCCGTTCCCCAAGTGTCATATCCAAACTGCCTCTTCTTCCTCTTCCATCCACCCTTGAGGGTCCCAAACCTCTGGATGAGTGGTGAAGTCCCACAGGGCCACATTTCATAAGCATCCCCTCCAGCTTGTCATCAATGTTCATCGCTGAGCAGTTGAGCTGAAGCTACAGGAAGAGACAGGACCAACATAGGGATTCCAATCAGCAGTCAACACGGTTGTGTTCACAGCACTTCCCCTCCGTCAACCGGACTGAGAGAAACAACAAGCTTAAGTTTTTTTTTTTTTTTAAATGTCCCCCTTTTGACAAACAGCAGCAAAACCTGATGGTCCACGTTCTCCAGCATGTTTTGAGAAAATGGAAATAATGTGACCTTTTCAAAATTCTAAAACTTTTTTCCAGGTTTAAGTGAAAAAAAAGAGTGGATATTTTCAATGTGGTCTTAAACTATTGGTCCCCAATGTTGGTCTAACTTGTATGCACAATCAAGCAAAAAATATTTTTATTGCCTGCTAGGCAGAGAAGAAATGATAATAAACCCAATCTGACTTGACATGTCGTGAACAGTCATTGTCAGAATTGCCACTGGAGCATAAACTAATTTAATAAGGAAGCATTCTTGCCTTTTAATGTCAGATTCACATTTTGACTTGAAAGACAATTAAGATACAGAAAATATTATCGATCTAACTTTACTGACACTATTGGATGAAAACAAAAACTTGAACTAAATGTAGCTGAATAATCTTATTCTGTAGAGCTCTTTTATATATAAATTAAAGTTGTTTCATAATAATAGAACAACTTTACAACATCGACACTGCTATTGAACTGAATTGAGCTAAATAATGACACTATTTTCTTCTGCAGTGCAGAGCTGCTTTATAGCTGAAATTTAAGTTAATTATTATGTTTAGGTGAAGAAGGAAAAAACAGAATAGTAGTTACATATGCATCTGGCATGTCAATCATCAACCTAGACTAAATAAAATACAAATAGGAACTGGATCAACGTATGATTTAAATGGTCCAAAAAAGAGTTTATGCTTTGTGCATGCAAACTTATTCTGATATGTAAAAACTACTAAATAAACTGAAAGTATATGACCGTGTTTACAGTGTGACACTCACGCACAACACGGGGCTGCCTGTTGGCACTGTCACAGATACAGCCGAATTTCATTTGACGCGAGGTTAATAAGACAACTGAATTGTAATAGTGGTTTAATGTATTTCAATATATTAATGTAGCGTGAAAAATCGGCCTGATCTCCATCTCTATGCTGCCATTTCATCACGCACACAGACACCGGACTGCAAACATTTTCACGACTGATTGTCACGCAGACCCTCGCGGATGAAGAGTATACGTACCGCATGTGTTGTCAGTGAAGCGCTGGCGGCGGGTTCGAGCCGCTCATGACGTGTTTGTCAAACTTTACTGCGATGCTGCGGCTAGCATGAAAGGCTAGCGAGCTACATTCCATCTGCAACTGCGCAGCGGTGCATTGTGGGATCGCAGCGGACCCGCTCTAACGAGACTGACGGGTCGGATTTGCTTACTGTTACAGTAAGCAAAACTGTTTGAAATATATTTAACGCAATGTAATACATGTAGCTAATAATATTGTTTATTATGTAAATATATAAATGTATGTATTTATAATCGCATAAACATTTCTCTCGCCCTATCTAAAACTTAGTTATTAACTCTCTGCTGTAGCAAGTTACTCGAGTAAGATTGACAAAAAAAAACTTCCTGAACTTTTAACTGTTCAGACATAAAATGAATTGTTAAATTTCATATTCATTTTATTGTAGGCCTATGTACATCACGCATTTTATAGCATATAAACAAACTTTAACGATAACTATTCAACCTTAACTTTAACAATAACTTTAAAATAAAACTGGCAGAATCTGGAATCTTATAGAATTCAAACATTTATTTATTTTTAATTTTATATCAACACTCCCAGTTTCTGTTATTAAAAAGGTTGAAAACTGCCAGTGCTGTAATTAGAAATGCCATAGGAAATATCACATCAGAGGGGTTAAACATTATTTTTATTTTTTTTAAACCTTCAAAGGGGTTTTAATATTGTAATTGAGTAAAGGTCATAAGGAGAACCATTGCCCTAAAATCATCTTGAAGAGGTTAAAAATGTTAGTTAAAACTGTTAATTTGTGGTATTGACTCAATTGGTAAACAATAAACTTACAGGATAAAGACAGAAGACCGTCATGTCTTGCAAATTCAAACAAAACCAATCATCTGTCCATGTCACTTGTATTATTCAGATAGGTCTGCGAGATCAAGTTGTTCTTAAGTAGGCTATAACACACCACTAGAGGGAAGCTACAGCCCAGAAACAAATGGAGAAGGAGATTGCTCCTGAAAAAATGGCTGAGGCAGCATTACTGGAATTTTGTCAGTTTAAATGATTTTTTTTTACCATTTTCAGCAGTACACTCTGCTGACATCTTAAGTTAAAGGTGATGTCTTTTTAAAAAATACGGTAACACTTTAGTTTAGGGTCCAGTTCTCACTATTAACTAGTTTATAAAGCACACATTAATGCTTTTTCTGCATGACCATATTCTACATTACATAATCCTACCGAATACCTAAACTTAACAACTAGATTACTAACTATCAATAAGCAGTAATTATGAGTTTATTGAGGCAGAAGTGGTAGTTAATTGTTAGTTAATAGTGAGAATCAAACTCAAAACCTAAGTGTGACTCAAAATACTTGTTTCAATACGTTCTTCCATTTCAATTCAGTGTACAGAGACAACTGACATTCGTAAGTTGACGGATTTAAACTTGATTTAACTTTGCATGTTTAAATGTATTTGGTTTAACAATTCCCTGATATAGGCCTTCATATGCATCATTATATAAGAGTACTTTCATTACCACTAAAACTCATTTCATATAAACTGAACTATGATCAAAATGAGCTACACGTAAAAACCAAAATGATCTCTGCTGAACTCTCAGACTATCATAAAGATGCATAACATGGTTACATTTTAATAAAAGGGGACAAAAGACAAGACAGTAAATATGACACTCACAGCATATGAAAACAAGCCAAATGATAATGGGAATGTTTTATTTTTTTATTATTACCATTAGTGTTACACATCAATGATTTTAACAGTATATACAAATGGTTATCTCTACCCCCCTATAACCCAAAAATGAACCAAATGACCAGAGGTCAGGCTGAGTTACACATGCAACTCTAAAATGGGGAAATTATTATATCCAGCCTTTCCTGTGACCTTCGTATTCCTTTAGCCAGATTTCTATCAAAACATAGACCCACCCACTCATCATAACAGATGACAAATATGGCATTCATAGTGGACAAAGAAAATATGCAGAGTTGAGTTTTGAATAAGACATAAACAGCATATTAATATTTATCAGATGAACTGAACCATATAAAGGGAGGGGGTCAGTGGTTATAAACAGCTTAGTTTTTATGGCAGAATGTGCAGAAAGTTACAGACCAGCATATTATGATGAATTTATGGGACTTTGTTTGCTGTATGGGCGTTAGGGTAAATTTAGTTTGCATGTGAATAAGACCAGTTACTTTTCTTTTCGTAGGAAATTTGACTCTTGGTGTCCTCCGCACCAGGTGATAAAGATCATTTTGCTTGTTGCACAGAAACTGGACATGTTCCAGATGTGGGAGACCACCATTATGGGGAGGGGTGTGGGGTATGATAAAAATGGAACTGCTGGATTCGCTGAGAACTTTTTTCCTCCCAAAACCCACCCTTATATTTTGCCTTGACTATTTTAATCTGTGCTTTTGTGTTTTATGGTTAACTAAAGAAGTAAAAAGATGATGGAAAAGAAAAAAGGAATGATTTTAGCAAACATATTGGCATCAAAAATCATAAAGATAATAAAACAATAAAAAAATTATTACAAATTATAAAGAAATCATTCCATAGTTCAAGATGAATCGATCTTAATTAAGTTGTTCTTCTGTTTCTGTCTGAAGTGTTAAATCATTAATTGTATGCAACCTTCACAAACTCTTGTGTAGGTCAAAATAGTGCAGTCACAAAAGTAACCAGATCTAAAATCTGGCTGGTGAACATGGAAATAAATAAAACAGCACCCCATCCATTTATTATTTGGACTGAAACTGACACTAGTGTATGCCAATATTATTCAATACCTTTTTACACCAGAGCATCTGGTGCAAGAGGCTGACAAAAGTTTAGGATTGAGAGGAAGACTTTAGTCCCCATGGTCAGTCTCTAGGAGTGTGTGCTTCTCTGGATTGACATCTCCAAGGCCTCCTGGTGTTCTGGTTGTCATGGCTGGAACCCTCACATCTTACTGAAGCACTCTTTAGCGTTGTTCCACACTTGAATTCCCTTAAAACAAAACATGCTTGTGTTTAATGCAACTATGCTACTTCTGCCTAATAAATAGTCTGATGAGTATAGAGACAGGGGTTTCGCTTGTTCTGCAAAAACAAAACAAAATGTTTTATTTTGTTGGCGCGGACCAGACTTACCTTCTTGCACATGCTGATCTGCATGATGGCATAGCTGATGAGAGCCTCTTTGAGATCATGGTCTTTCTGCTCTTTAAACCTTTCAATGTCCACCCATGCACTTTTCACATACTCGCTACAAAAAAGACAAAGCTATTTTGTAACATTCTTGCCATGAAATGGAATGAAGCTTGACTTGAGTTGTTATAGCCTCAAATCAACATATTTTTAAGATCAACTCAGTTGTATTATTAGCCTGGTTTTGGGTTCACCTCTCTTTCACAGAGGCTGCAACAATATGAGCAAAGTATGTGCATTTGGAGCATATCTGTCCATTTCATAATTTTTGTGCTGCCACAGAATGAAAAGGCAGCCTCATAAACCCTGAATTTTAAGTATAATAATAATATTTTCTGACAACATTTACAGCTTTTTGTCATCAAAAGAACATAAAATGCATATAAAGTGAACTGTACAGTCATCAATCACAATTAAAAACTTTTATGATTAGTATCAATTATCTGCAATATATTCTGAAACTGACAAGCATAAAGTCAAGTTTCTCAAGGGTGATCTAGAAAATACAATAATTCTGACGTGATCTGAAGACAGCAACAGAAATCACTGAATCTGCGTTGTGCCATGATCAGAGGGTTTAATTCAGTCGTGTGGTAATAGAGCACTGCTTACTCGCATTCTGCGTTTCTTTCTTTGACCAGTTCCTCTCCTTCTTCAATCTGTGTCTCCAGCATTTTCAGCTTGGCCTCTCTCTGCTCTGGGGTCTCTTGTCCAAACAGTTTACTGGTCATCCCCTTCAGAGAGAAGGTCCGTACCGTCTACACAGGAAAAAAGTCAATGACACCCATTGGCCCGCATTTCAAGCCACACTCTTCCTCCCATGTTTTTTGCAGAAAGGACGTTTTCCATCCTTTTTTTTGGCCAAGTGGGCCTAGTAATTATCCATATCAGCCAATCGGGTCAGAATTTGTTATGCATGTCGTTGGCTTTTTGCGCAGCTCAAATGTTTACATGTTAAATGTGCCATTGAGGTACTTCTTAGAGGGCTCTATCCACCCAAACAGCAAGGCGCACAATTTTAATTGCATAAAACTGTTAAAAACACTCACTAGTAAACCCGAATCCTTCTAAAACAGAGGTGGCCAAACTTTTTACTACAAAGGGCCAGAAATCTAACTAACTAACTAATCAAAAATTTTGATTTGTTTTATCCTATATATTTCAAAGCAGAAAATATACCAAAAATGTCTGATAAATTATATGTGTTTTATAATGGTCTCTCTTGTGATATGACATGGGCCTGAGTTGGAATAAAAACATTAAGACTTGCTGGAAAGTCCCTCATTCCAGACGCGAGAAGGGTGATGTGGAGTTCTGTCTCTGAGAACTGTCATGTGATTGAATGGACACTGACCCCAGTGGCGAGTTCCTCCCGCTGCTGTTTCTTAGAGGTCAGATCCTGGGCGGCCATCTCCAGTTCAAACTGTGTCAGTTCATGCTTCCTACACACTGCCCTGTGAAAACACACATTAACCACAACATATACAAAATGAACCATAAAAGCAGACAATCTACAGTGCTGGTCAGAATTATTTGCCCCCTTGGTAAATATGATCATAGATGGCTGTAAAAAATAAATCTGCATTGTTTATCCTTTTGATATATATATATTTATTTTTTAAATGCAAAAATCTAATCTTTTTTAGAGAGGGGGGGGGGAGAGAATCACATTATGAAATAAATGGTTTTCTCCAAAACAGATTGGGAACAATTATTTGATTATTAGATTACTTTTTGCAACCTATCTTTTTGCAACCTATCATGGCATCATGGATTTTTGGTATTTTATCAAATCCATGATGCCATGTATCTGAACAAGATGTCTGGCAGAAAATTAGGCCCACAGCATTAAAGATACAGCAGAGTATTTCATTTCACTCATGGCGTACTTTTTTATCCCTGTGTGCACCAAACCCATCTTAAGTGTTTGCTGCCAAAAAAAGCTTTTTTTGTCCATAGAACGTTTGAAAAGTAACTGACAGTACTGGAACTTCAAACGGGACGGGTTCTATGAACAGATGAAACAAATTAAATAGCTTTTTTGGAAGCAAACACTTAAGATGGGTTTGGTGCACACAGGGATAAAAAAGTACCCCATGAGTGAAATGAAATACTCTGCTGTATCTTTAATGCTGTGGGCCTAATTGTCTGCCAGAGGTCTTGGACATCTTGTTCAGATACATGGCATCATGGATTTGATAAAATACCAACAGATAAAAAAAATCAAAACCTGACGGCCTCTGCTTGAAATCTTACAATGGGCCGTGTGTGGATCTTCCATCAGGACAGTGATCCAAAAACAGACATCAAAATCAACTCAAAAATGGGTCACTGAGCACAAAACCAAGCATCTGCAATGGCCATCCCAGTCCCTGACCTGAACCCTATAGAAAATGAGTGGGCTGAACTGAAGAGAAGAGGCACCAACATGGATCTGGGAATCTGAAAAGATTCTGTATGGAGGAATGGTCTCTGATCTCTTGTCAGGTGTTCTCCAAACTCATCAGGCATTATAGGAGAAAACTTGGAAATCTTGGAAGCTTGGAAAAAGGAGGTTGCAAAAAGTATTTAATAAAAGGGGGCAAATAATTGTTCCCAACGTGTTTTGGAGAAAAACATTTATTTCATAATGTGATTCCTCCCCCCCACCCCACCCCCACTTTAGATTTTTGCACATTTTTAAAATAAAATATCAAAAGGATTAACAATCCAGATTTATTTTTTACAGCCATCTTTGATCATATTTACCAAGGGGGCAAATAATTCTGACCACAATTCTACAGTGTACTTGTTTCTTATGGAAATTGTTAAACTGAAAGCCTAGGTGACCTAGGAAAACCAGGCACTGATGGGGGATTGTGTAAATAGTGTAAGAAAGTTGCATATGTGTAACTTTATCAGCCAGTGGAGTTATCGGCTCTAGTGAGTTCTGGGAAAGTTGCAGTTTGAACATAATGTACATTTCTAATCAACCTCACTGTTATAACAGCTTGTGTTTAGTATACTTCAGTTCACGTTTAAAGGGGTCCAATTATGCTTTTTTACATTTTTTTTACAACTTTCTTTAGTGTGTAATGTTGCTGTCTGAGCATGAAAAAGTTCTGCAGAGTTACAAAGCCCAAAGTTCACTCCAAAGTGAGTTATTCTCTATATCAGTAAGCACCGTTTCTGAACTCCCTGAAACTCCTCGATTCGATTGTAGTCTTGAGTTTTCTTCCAGGAACGTTCAAGTTACAGTATATCTCATTTAAATAATTCCACCTAAGGCATACACAATAAAAAGGGGCAAGGCCTGATTGAGTTGCATTAGTAGTTTGTTATGGTAAAGGCGGTGTCATTTCCAAAACATGGTCAAAGTGACTGACCACAACACACTGTTCCAGCCAACCAAATCAGAACACATTGTGCTTTTCGGAAGGAGGGGCTTCAAGGAGTTACTGACAGTCTGGGAAGAGAGGTGCTGCAACAATGTAAAATATGTGTCAAATAATGTTTGTATTGCTGTTGTTTATTTGTATTTTTTTTACATTCAAACATGAAAACCTATTCTAGTAGACCCCAAAAACTTTAAAAGGATACTCCACTTTTTTTGGAAATAGGCTCATTTTACAACTCTCCCAGAGTTAAACTGCTGCTCTCATGGTACGGCAGTGAAGTTTCTTGATTATTACGCAGGAATGAGAGTATAGTTCCTAGCCATATCAGCCTAGAAAATCGCAACTTTACATTTTCCGTCGGTCTTAGTGCACGATGTAACTACAGAAGAGTCAAGTTTTAAATAGGAAAAATATCGAAACACTTTGGTCATTTTTTAATGAGAAATGCTATGGTCTTGTCCACTTCAATGATGTATGCTAAGCTATGCTAAAAGTGGTACCGCCAGAACCGGAGATCGGCTGAATGGATTCAAAAACGGTAAAACTCAACAGTTTAACTCTGGGGGAGTTGTAAAATGAGCCTATTTCCATAAAAAGTGGAGTATCCCTTTAAATAAGACAAACTATGCCCTTTTTCAAATCTTGATTATAAAGTTGGCAATAAACGTTTACAATTCTCATTTTGGGTGAACTCCCTCTTTAACATAATGACATTCAGGCAACACAAATATTAATACTGTACCTTACTGCGTCTGCATAGAAAAGGTACTCCTTCAGCTGGTCAGCGTAATGCTCCTCTTCCTCTAGAATATCATCTACAGAAGCAGCATACCTGTAACGAAACAAAAGTGCCCGATAAAAGGGTAGTTGACGTATAACATGTCCATGAACTTCACCTGATAATGTCACAGATGTGTGTACACTACCATTCAAAAGAATGGGCTCAGTAACATTTTTGTTGTTGGTATTGTGTTTTGCACTGATGCCAAGCTTGATCTTTTGTTATAAATAATCTTGTTTTTTGGTTTGTTTCCCTTAAATTCCAACTAAAACGATCAAATAAATCAAATAAGATGATGTACTTTTCATTTAAAATAACGGAATTACCCGAAATAGGCATTACCATGTCTTATTTAATAAACCACTTTCCATTGAGTTTCCAGGAAAAATAACTATATCTTTTATATATACTGTGACCATGATATAATATTTTGATTATACTGCCCACAACCTAACATCACAAACTGGCATTCTGGTAAAACTACATGTATTATCCTCTCTAAATCAGACGTAGAGCCTGTGGAACTAATGCCAAACCCGCAGCAGAGCCAGTTTGGGGTATTTTGAAGAATTTTTAGGAATAGGTGAGCGACATGATCCATAAAACAGTCTGACAGCTGCCAAATGTGGGCTGGTGATGGACAGGTTGTTTCTTTCAATGCTGAGACAGACAAGCAGCGCATTGGGCTCTGACCTTTAACCTTTCTGCTAAGTATAGCAATCTGGAATCCATCAGAACATGCAGCAATACAAAAACAGTATAGAAACTAAAGGGACTGGTTAAAGACTCACTGAGGACATTACTGCAAAAGAGTCCCTTTTACAACATCCTCATCAGAACATTGAAAAAAAGAATAATACAGCTAAATATTTTGGCCATGGCTCCCAGAGATTCACAGCACGGTCTGCCAGTAAAATCAAAACCCGAGCTTTCCAAGGGCTCATCTTTCTGGCTACTTGTTATGGGGGGGTCGTGAATGGAAATATGAGAGGACTCAGATCAATCTGGCAAATGTGTTTTACAGCTCAGTAGCAGAAGCACACACATGTAGAATCACAGGAAAGTCCTGGGGTGTATCATACAGCACTTCCCTCAATGAGCTCTTGGAGGGTAACGGGATCGTCCCAGGTAGGAGAAATACAATCAAAACCAGCAGCAATAAAATCTTGCACTAATCCTATAAAGATACATGAGAATGGCTCATAAAGCAGCCTTCATCTGTGTTGCGTGCGCTGTGAACTTACGCGTCCATGTGATGGCCGGCGCTCTGCAGCCCATCTCCCATCTCTTTCTCAATGGCACTCCACTCGCTGTCCAAAACAAACAAAGACTCACATTAAACCACTGCAGCTGACCGCAGCTACACAATCGCAACCCAAAAGATTTACCCCAAAAATGCTTCTCACAAAAACAGTTCACAGAGCACATTATAAAACATGCCTGGCTCTTTCAAAATGAGGGTACATTATTGTGATTGTAACATTGTGAGATAAAACCTGGACCAACTGGTCTATTCATCACACAGAATGACTGTATAGAGAAGACGTGAAATATAGTGCACATCATCTATGAAAAAATGCAAACGCTTTTACTTTCACCGTTGATCAAATTAATCCTTGCTTTATTTATTTTTTCTTTAAAAGTCAAAAATGGTAGTATACACGGGTTTCAATAGCTGTCAGGAACCACGGATAATGACATGCATGTAAACATGGTCATTATATGGAAAAAAGGAGCCCGGACATTCTGCAGAACAACTCTTTATGTGTTGCAAAAATGTAAGCCATATGGGTTTTGACATGACATAAGTAAATAATTCATATCAAAGTGAACTATTTCCTTTAAAAAAATATATATATATATTACCTAAAGACTCTTCCATAATTTCCATGCACTTTGTAGACTCCATATAGGCGATCAGCTGCTCTCTAAAAAAAAGAAAGAAAGAAAAGAAAAAATTGTTGAACTCTGTTAGTAAATGAATCTGATTTTAAGAAACATTTAAAAAAAAATAATAATAATAATCAACAAAACATCTAATTTCATCTTTAGATTCACTCTATGATTCTAATGCAACCACATATTAAATTAAGATTTATACTTTAGATTTATACTATATTTTATAGCCTAAAATACTAATGTTTTTCTTTAGTAAAAAAGGGTCCTTTCTAAAAAGCACTAAAAGAATTAATGAAAGAGTTAATGAAATCATCAGAATCGTTTTCCTTACAATTCTCATCTCTAATAAAAAACTAATATATACTTTTGTTGGGCTGAAAGGACTTTTTCTAATAGATTGAGCAGCATATTCGACTGTGTTGACTTTGTTTACACTCACCGCCCGAACTCTCAGCAGCTGTGAAATAACAGCCTGCAGCTCATCACCGTAGTGTTTCATTTCTGCAAATCTCCTGTGAAACACACACACACACACACACACACACACACACGTCAAGTTTCAGGGTTAACAAACAGCACGGTCATATCTTCATGCATTTCATGACGCTGCGTAACACGGTTTGCAAAAATAACTTACTTGTCTGGGTTCTTCACTCTGAATGTGGCATTTAAAGCCTTTAATCTTGAATCGGCCTGTAAGGAGGACACATGCCAAATGTTGACAGACAGATTCATGTTTGGGTTTTTGTTTGTTCAGATGGTGTAAAGCAGAATTACAGCCACTCCTTACAACATTTTTTTTAAACGACTGAGATCAGATAAACACTGCAATATGGCAATAATATACACTAACATAAAATACTGCTGCTCTTTCGTGTTTGATCCAGAACGCTCCAACAGACTTCCTGTGCCTGTTTACATAAACTACAGCGTACTGATAACAGATTCCTCACCGCAGTAGCAATTCAGTCACTTCACACAATTTTTATTTGATATCAACACATATTTAGTCAGCTTCATATCAACATATGAATAGTGACCTATGGTGAGAAGCGATATATATAAACAACAGAGTCGTGGCTAGAGGGTTAAAGAGAGAAAGAACCCAATGAACTGGAAAGTGCTGATATACCTTCGCCTGAAATCCTGTCTCAAACACGGTTTCCTTCCAACCATTTTCCTGTGGGGCAGAGAAAGGATGCAATTTCTGACACTGTCAAAGGGCATTATCAGCATTAAATGTCAGTTAAAACATTTTTTTTCAAACAACGGAAATAAGGGCTGTCAATTTAACAAATTAATTTAGTTCAATTATTAAAATTCATTAATACTAATGGAATGTTGTGGATGGTAGGCCAGGGATAAGCTTACACTACCATTCAAAAGTTTGGGTCAGTAAGAAATTAATACTTTTAATTAGCAAGGATCAATTAAAATGATCAAAAGAACCAGTAAATACTTTTACATGATCAACTTTTGAACTTTCTATTCATCAAAGAATCCTGAAGAAAATGTCTCACGGTTTCCACAAAAATTAAGCAGCTGTTTTTAACATTGATGATGATAAATGATGTTTCTTCAGCAACAATCAGCATATTAGAATGATTTCTGTAGAATCATGTGACACTGAAGACTGGAGTAATGATGCTGAAAATTCAGCTTTGCCATCACAGGAATACAGTAAATTACAAAATAGTTATTTTAAATTGTAAAAATATTTCACAATACACTTTTTTGCTCAAATACAGACCGTTAGTGTATGTTCAATAATATAATATACACTCACCGGCCACTTTATTAGGTACACCTGTCCAACTGCTCGTTAACACTTAATTTCTAAGCAGCCAATCACATGGCGGCAACTCAGTGCATTTAGGCATGTAGACATGGTCAAGACAATCTCCTGCAGTTCAAACCGAGCATCAGTATGGGGAAGAAAGTTGATTTGAGTGACTTTGAACGTGGCATGATTGTTGGTGCCAGAAGGGCTGGTCTGAGTTTTTCAGAAACTGCTAATCTACTGGGATTTTCACGCACAACCATCTCTAGGGTTTACAGAGAATGGTCCGAAAAAGAAAAAACATCCAGTGAGCGGCAGTTCTGTGGGCGGAAATGCCTTGTTGATGCCAGAGGTCAGAGGAGAATGGCCAGACTGGTTCCAGCTGATAGAAGGGCAACAGTGACTGAAATAACCACTCGTTACAACCGAGGTATGCAGCAAAGCATTTGTGAAGCCACAACACGCACAACCTTGAGGCGGATGGGCTACAACAGCAGAAGACTCCACCGGGTACCACTCATCTCCACTACAAATAGGAAAAAGAGGCTACAATTTGCAAGAGCTCACCAAAATTGAACAGTTGAAGACTGGAAAAATGTTGCCTGGTCTGATGAGTCTCGATTTCTGTTGAGACATTCAGATGTTAGAGTCAGAATTTGGCGTAAACAGAATGAGAACATGGAACCATCATGCCTTGTTACCACTGTGCAGGCTGGTGGTGGTGGTGTAATGGTGTGGGGGATGTTTTCCTGGCACACTTTAGGCCCCTTAGTGCCAATTGGGCATCGTTTAAATGCCACGGCCTACCTGAGCATTGTTTCTGACCATGTCCATCCCTTTATGGCCACCATGTACCCATCCTCTGATGGCTACTTCCACCATGTCACAAAGCTCTAATCATTTCAAATTGGTTTCTTGAACATGACAATGAGTTCACTGTACTAAAATGGCCTCCACAGTCACCAGATCTCAACCCAATAGAGCATCTTTGGGATGTGGTGGAACGGGAGATTCGCATCATGGATGTGCAGCCGACAAATCTGCGGCAACTGTGTGATGCCATCATGTCAATATGGACCAAAGTCCCTGAGGAATGCTTCCAGCACCTTGTTGAATCTATGCCACGAAGAATTGAGGCAGTTCTGAAGGCAAAAGGGGGTCCAACCCGTTACTAGCATGGGGTACCTAATAAAGTGGCCGGTGAGTGTATATATATATATATATATATATATATTATACTGACTTTTAAATCCACTTCTTATAATGACAATACTTCATTTGATTGCCTTGAAAATGTTATCTTTTTCAGAAAACATTTTTCATTGGTATTGTACATGTGGCTACCATGTAATTAATTCATTTCAATTTCTACTAGGCTGTCAATTAATTTTCACTTAAAAAAAACAAACATTTGACAGCCTAGTAGAAAAAGAAATGAATTGATTACAAATCAAATCAAATAAAAACATTTAATTACAAATTAATTAAATGTAACATTTAATAAGACATTACGAATTAATTACAAATCTTTATATCAGAAGAACTTTATTGTCCAGACTCTCTACCTCGGTGAGGAATGAATAGAAGATCTTGTCATTGGACAAGACTGGGTGTGAGGCCACTCGAAGCAGGAAGTTCTCTAGTCCAACCCTACGCCTCTCCACGAAGTCAGGGTCCATGTTGTCTGCTGTCAGCTTGTGCCAGACAAATTCAGCCTGTTGTACAAAGCATGAAGTTACAGTGTATGAAGGCAAATTATATTTACAAGCAGCGGTAACCACAGCATCTTGCATACCCGTTTTTCAGGCAACGGCGGAACCACCACAAATGGATAGGCAACTAACAAATAGTTTCGAAGGAGCTCAAATTCGCTGTAACGCCTCCAAAGAGAATCTGGGACAGGATTGGTCCCTTCTGATGCAGCATCCACAGGCCTAAAAACACAGAATAAATGACTGTCAGAAGTGGAATGAAACTTAAAGAAATGCTCATTTCAATAAAAAAAATTGTTAGGTTTGGTATAAACTGTAAGGCGGGTGCCAGTAAGTCTGGGCTACCCCTCAAGAAAACAAAAGGCTATCCTGAGAATTAACATTTGAACTCTCCCTTGCATATGTAACAGCAACATCCGAGACGCACCACAGAGTGCAGCTCACAACTCATTTTTACAGTCTCATCATCTCCCCCTGAAAAACTCACTGAAAACCTATGCAATGTTAAGTGTGTACAAAAAGTAACTATACATGTTTGGTATCATTTTAAGTGTCTCAGTGCGCCTGGTAAAATGGTCTCATTCTCCCAGCCATAATGAAAAGCTAAAAAGAAGTAATAAAATATGAGAAATGTGGTGTGCCCTCCCCCAGATCCTCCATTCAAACTACCTCCTGTATGTAAATATGTATTCTCTTCTACAGGTGTCAAGAAACCATTCAATTACAAATTCTGATCCCACAGTTGTGAACCCCTCAATAGGGGACCAAAATCTAATTATAAATGACAGACACCATCATTTGGTAAGCATATTGAATTATCTAGGTTTATAAAGGAAAATTGGCAAAAGGGTTGAGGAGTCTGTAGGTAGACTTCCCACACGATCGCTGTGTGTAGTTTTCGTTCCCAGGTAAATATTTCTACAATTCCTCGATGTCTGAATTGTTGTTATTACATATGATTGACCGATGATTTTATTCTATAAATTGGATTTTTAATTATGGTTTTATTACCTGGTCAATAAATTGTAAAGATTTGATTTTATTCTGACTGACTCTGAAATTGTTTTCCCAAGTAGATTAAATGGATTCGTATGTTACCGCAAGTCTGTGTCAGATTAGTGACGACTAATATTTGGCACTAATTCAAGTGTACTTGGTTTTGCAAAGACAAGAAGTAAATTTCCGTTTTAGAACAGCAAATGCTGCTTGACCAATCTAAATTTGGGTGTGTCTTACCTCTGTTTTAATTTAATGTTACTTTAGATAAGTGTATGTGGGAAATCACGGCATGGCCAATCCAAAGCAAAAGTAAACGTTACGTTAAATTCAAGTGTATGCAATTCCATGGGGGCTATGCCAAAGTATCTTTGATTGTGTAAGCGTGAATGCGACCAATCTCAGGTATATAGCAGTTACCTCTGTTTAGTGACCGAAGCTGGCGAGATTGTGATCGTGAGACCCGCATTAAACAAGGCGTGAGGACCTCTGATCGACATATGACCTTTGTGTTTCTAGCACCATGCTCTACAGTTTGTGCTACAGTTTTTAGCATGTTGCTTGCTATGTGTTTGTTTGAGTGTTCTGGGTCGTTGCAAAGATATGACTCAAGTCCCTCCTTCAGGGTTTATTCGACTATTTGACTGTCCCACAAGGAAAATTACTGTCAAAATTTACTGTCACACTGCTGTAGGAGCATGTATATGAACTCTCCTAAATTAATTAAACATCTCTGCAGTGTCAGTACTCCGTTCGTATTGTTCGTATAGGCATGCCACTACTTTTCAATCAATGAATTTCAATTACTTTTCCAGTCGTTCCCTTTTATTGGACAACAAATAAATTCAAAAGGTTGGCCGATATAATGTTTAAATATACATATAATATAGCCTAAGTTCTAAAAAATTAATACTTCTATTCAGCAAGGTATACCACTGACTCTTGTGTTCTAAATAACATCAGGTCACTTAAATTTGAATATAATAAGATCATGTCAGACCAGGTGAATAAGATGTTATTAAAAATTAAGCAGAAGCATTTTGAGATTGGGGACAAACCAGATAAATTATTATCCCGTCAATTGAGGGGCTCTTATGCCAGTAGATCAATTCATAGCATAGCGGATAAGGATGGTAAAATATTGACTAACCCAAAGGATATCAATAAACGCTTTATGGAATTTTTTGCAGACTTGTACGAATCTAAGACTTCTGTATCATCTGAGGCTATTTCGGATTTTCTTCGTTCGCTTTCCCTCCCTCAATTAAGTGAAGCGGACCGGGAAATCTTGAATTCTGATATTACAATTCAAGAGATAATGGACGCGATTAATGCCTTTCCTAACGGGAAGTCCCCTGGTCCTGATGGCTTCAGTTTTGAATTTTATAAGAAATATGTAGATAAAATTGCACCCCTTATGTTACGGATGTTCAATCATTCCTTCATCAAGCAGAAATTTCCCTCCTCTCTATACTCCGCCAATATTTCTTTACTTCTTAAGAAAGGCAAGGACGAGGCTGACGTGTCTTCTTTTCGTCCAATTTCTCTTCTCAATACAGATTTAAAAGTGTTCACTAAAATTTTGGCAACAAGGTTAAACAAATGCATTTCAACTATTATTCAACCCGACCAAGTTGGCTTTATCCCAAAAAGATTTTCCTTTTTTAATGTTAGACGTTTCCTAAATATAATCTATTCTAAGCTAAACTCCCACTCTAAATTGGCAATTATCACATTGGATGCAGAAAAAGCTTTTGACCAAGTTGAATGGAACTACATCTTAACCACTATTAAAGAATTTAATTTAGGCGATAGGTTTTCTTCCTGGGTTAGCATGTTGTATCACCACCCTTGCGCTTCAGTGTTAACTAACCTCGATAGATCACCGCAATTTGAATTGCATAGGGGTACCCGACAGGGGTGTCCTCTTTCACCCCTGTTGTTTGCCATTGCCATAGAACCTTTGGCAATAGCCATTAGACTTCATCCACAGATTCCGCCCTTACGTATAGGTCAGGTTGATCATATCATATCTCTTTACGCTGACGATGTCCTTTTGTACCTTTCAGACCCCGAGCGCTCTGTTCCTCCTCTGTTAGATTTATTAAACTCATTCAGTAGCTTCTCTGGTTATTCTGTTAACTGGCAAAAAAGTGAACTCATGCCCGTCAGCGATAATATAGATCCAGTTTTTATGAAGAGCCTGCCATTTAAAATCACTTTAGACAAGATAAAATATCTCGGTGTGGTTGTCCCTAAGAATCCAAAGGATTTAGTTCAATTAAATTATTTTGCCTTACTAGACAACCTAAAGAAGGACATAGAAAGATGGAGATCACTCCCTATTTCAATGATCGGCCGTATTAATGCAATTAAAATGGTGATCCTTCCTAGATTTTTATATCTCTTTCTAAATTTGCCCTTCTTTTTACCTAAATCATTCTTCAGAACTCTTGATTCAATAATTATGCCTTTCATTTGGGGTTATAAAGTCGCTCGTATATCCAAAACACACGTGTACAAACCAAAATGCTTGGGGGGTTTGGGTTTGCCCAACTTTCTTCATTACTACTGGGCAGCGAACTGCAGAATATTAACGTACTGGCAGGATTCTTTTCCGGGCACTGTTCAAGTAGACACCCCCTCCTGGCTAGCGATAGAACAAAGTGCCATCCACTCATCTCTTTCTGCTCTGCTTTTTTCGGCACCACTGCCTAGTAAAGAAGTTCCCAAAGCTAATTTAATCCTTAAAAACTCCATCAAAATATGGTATCAGATCAGAAAGGAAATCAAGCTACCAAGTACCTCCCTGTTTTCTCCTATCTGTTATAACCATGCGTTTATACCCTCTCTTACAGATAATGTTTTTAGGGAATGGCAAGGTAAAGGAATTCTCTAAAAGATTTGTATATTAATAATACATTTCCCTCCTTTTCTCAGCTCAGCGAAATATTTGGCCTTCCCTCTTTTCACTTTTTCAGATATCTTCAAGTCAGGAACTTTGTTCGTACAAATATTATACACTTTGAAACTTTGCCTTTAGAATGTAAAATATTTGATTTATTTTCCAACTCTCCTGATGCTAAGGGCATCACATCTCTTTTTGTTAATGCTTTTAAAGAAAATACAGATTTTTCTTCACTTCATTTGAAAAAGGCTTGGGAAGAAGATTTAGGGATTCAGGTTACTGAGACTGTCTGGGACAAATGTCTTTCATCTATTTATTCTTGTTCTATAAATTCAAGACACCAACTTATTCAGTACAAGGTATTACATAGACTTCACTACTCTAAAGTAAAGCTTAGTAAATTCTATCCCTCTGTCTCTCCTATATGTGATAAGTGTAAAGCTGCTGAGGGTACCCTGGCACACCTTTTTTGGTTCTGTTCACAAATTCAGAGTTTTTGGATAGAAATTTTTCATTTTTTTGCCAAAGTCTACAATTGTGCTTTACTTCCTGACCCACTTATAGCAATTCTTGGTTGGTCAGACTCATTGCAGGCTCAGGCCAAAGGTACGGTTACCAGTTCAATATGGTGTGACTGTAGCTAAAAAAGTTATCTTGCTTTTGTGGAAAAAAAATACTAGACCCCTCTTTTCTGACTGGCTAACTGGACTCACTTCTACGTTACACCTTGAAAGAATTAGATACTCAATATCCGGGAACCCTGCAAAATTCGATAAGATGAGGGAACCAGTTTTTACTTTTTTGTCAAATCAGAAGGACTAATTATTTATTTATGTTTTCCTGATCTGTAATAATCACTTTATGTAACTATTGTGATTACACTTTGTAACTGAGGTTGGCTTTGTGTATGTCTTCCTTTTTTATAGTACTTTTGTTTCATTTTACACATTGCACAGATTTCTGTTTTATGAAGGGTCTTTTTGTCTGTTTTTGTTTTTTTGTTTTTGATGTTTGAAAACCTCAATAAAAATAATATACACTATTCAGCAAGGATGCAATTAAATGATCCACAAAAACAGTAAGAAATATTTCTTGAGCAGCAAATCAGCATATTAGAATGATTTCTTAAGAATCATGTGATACTGAAGACTGGAGTACTGATGCTGAAAATTCAGCTTTGCCTTCACAGGAAAAGAAATACATTGTAAAACATTAGTTATTTTAAATTGTAATAATACTTCACAATATACTGTTTTTACTGTATTTTTGATCAAATAAATAAAGCCTTGGTGAGGATAAGAGACTTCTTTCAAAAACATAAATCATACTGACCTAATCTTTTGAACTATAGTGAACACAAATGCTCAACTTAAACACTTGTTTTACACATTATTTACCGTGTAAACAATTAAATTCCCTGATATTTTCTGATTGTTAGAGTCCTCAATAATACAAATGGAAAAATGCAATTAAGAGATACAGAGAAGGAAATATACATGAGGGGGGAAACACTGAAGAAAAAGTGTAGACTTTGAAATAAGATCCTAACTTCCCAAGGGCTCCAGGGAAGAAATGGGAGCACATAATGTGCTCCACACTAATAATCCATGATGAAATCAAAGCACAAGGAAGGTGCGGATTGGCTGACAGGCATTCTCCACTCAGACTGTACAACTTTCCCCAAGATCAGTGGCACCAAACTGCTCTCTAAAGCCCACTGTGTGTGTGCAGTTTGCCTTCCACATGGTGCTTACAAAAACATGTGCTTCCTTTTATGGAAACGAGCAACAGTACAGCACTGTTAAGTTATCTCCATGTATAAAGAATCAATAAAGCCAAAAATGTTATGCTAACGTTAGCATCACGATTACTACTCTTTATATACTGTTACGGTTAGGGATTTGAACAAACCCTTAACCCTGAGCATGTAACTCGTCACGTACCGTTTGTGCAACAGATTTGAAAATGATACCTCAAATCATGCGGCCTGTTGAGCAGAGGTATGCTTTTACATTTCCAAGCAATCAAACTTGTGATTTTCCTTGTGGGACAGTAAAATAGTCGAATAAACCCTGAAGGAGGGACTTGAGTTATATCTTTGCAACAACCCAGAACACTCAAACAAACACATAGCAAGCAACATGCTAAAAACTGTAGCACAAACTGTAGAGCATGGTGCTAGAAACACAAAGGTCATGGGATCGATTCCCAGGGGATGCATACTGGTAAATTGTATAAAAAAAACTTCAATGCATTGTAAGTCATTATGGATTAAAGCGTCTGCCAAATGTATACATTTAAATGTAAAAACTATTCAGAGCAGCTTATGGACACCAAAGCTGTATTTATTTGAGCAAACATAGACACAGTAAAAAAACAGTAATATTGTGAAATATAATTTCAATTTAAAATAACTTGTTTTCTGTTTTATTATATTTTAAAAAGCAATTTATTCCTGTGATGGCAAAGCTGAATTTTCAGCATCATTACTCCAGTCTTTAGTGTCACATGATCCATCAGAAATCATTCTAATATGCTGATTTGGGGCTTAAGAAACAGCATAGCAAATCCCTGGCAACCACCCACAACAGCAACTTTTTGCATGAACAAGCTCCATTCTCATTTAATTAAAAAACTGTAAAAATCTAGTTCTGGGGAAAAATCGTATCCATTTTTTAGACATACCAAAAAAACATGTTTGAAAAAGTCTTGGTTGCAGGCAGTGATTTTATGATTTTGACCACTAAGTATTGTTTTCGAATCATGTGATAATATGTTATTGCACTCTGGCCAGCATGCGTGTTTGGCCCTGCTGGAAAACACAGACAAAGCACATCTGCCTGAAGCGCTGACTCATCACCCTCTCCAGAATGACAAGTCCCTCTTTCCAACACAAAGCTTGGCGGGGTGACGGGGTCAGAGTGAGAGGTGAAAGTTACACTTCTGCTGCATGCATATCACTTCCTGTCCAGTGGAATACTTCTGTTTTGTTTTATTTGATGTAGAAAGAACATGTTAAAGTGACAGACCCAGGCACAGGAAGAAGAGGTCTAGTGTAAACATTTAAGTAAAGAGAGGAAATCCGATGGCTCTACCAGTCCGGCTTCCACAGTTTCTGAGCTTGTATAGTGTGCCGTGACTCTTTGATGTTTTGCAGTTCGCCATGCTAGTACAGTCAATGTGTAAACTTACCTTATCTACAGCTGGTTATTCATATTCACAATAGGTAAAAACCATTAGTTTCATTAGCTCCATACTTCCAGCTGTCATTACAGGCACATTGTTTACATACACTCACCTAAAGGATTATTGGGAACACCATACTAATACTGTGTTTGACCCCCTTTCGCCTTCAGAACTGCCTTAATTCTACGTGGCATTGATTCAACAAGGTGCTGAAAGCATTCTTTAGAAATGTTGGCCCATATTGATAGGATAGCATCTTGCAGTTGATGGAGATTTGTGGGATGCACATCCAGGGCACGAAGCTCCCGTTCCACCACATCCCAAAGATGCTCTATTGGGTTGAGATCTGGTGACTGTGGGGGCCATTTTAGTACAGTGAACTCATTGTCATGTTCAAGAAACCAATTTGAAATGATTCGAGCTTTGTGACATGGTGCATTATCCTGCTGGAAGTAGCCATCTGAGGATGGGTACATGGTGGCCATAAAGGGATGGACATGGTCAGAAACAATGCTCAGGTAGGCCATGGCATTTAAACGATGCCCAATTGGCACTAAGGGGCCTAAAGTGTGCCAAGAAAACATCCCCCACACCATTACACCACCACCACCACCCTGCACAGTGGTAACAAGGCATGATGGATCCATGTTCTCATTCTGTTTACGCCAAATTCTGACTCTACCATCTGAATGTCTCAACATAAATCGAGACTCATCAGACCAGGCGACATTTTTCCTGTCTTCAACTGTCCAATTTTGGTGAGCTCTTGCAAATTGTAGCCTCTTTTTCCTATTTGTAGTGGAGATGAGTGGTACCCGGTGGGGTCTTCTGCTGTTGTAGCCCATCCGCCTCAAGGTTGTGCGTGTTGTGGCTTCACAAATGCTTTGCTGCATACCTCGGTTGTAACGAGTGGTTATTTCAGTCAAAGTTGCTCTTCTATCAGCTTGAATCAGTCGGCCCATTCTCCTCTAGCATCAACAAGGCATTTTCGCCCACAGGACTGCCGCATACTGGATGTTTTTCCCTTTTCACACCATTCTTTGTAAACCCTAGAAATGGTTGTGCGTGAAAATCCCAGTAAACTGAGCAGATTGTGAAATACTCAGACCGGCCCGTCTGGCACCAACAACCATGCCACGCTCAAAATTGCTTAAATCACCTTTCTTTCCCATTCTGACATTCAGTTTGGAGTTCAGGAGATTGTCTTGACCAGGACCACACCCCTAAATGCATTGAAGCAACTGCCATGTGATTGGTTGATTAGATAATTGCATTAATGAGAAATTGAACAGGTGTTCCTAATAATCCTTTAGGTGAGTGTATCTCTAAACTATCTTCATCCAAACCCCTGACCTTCATTATCATGTCAAGAAAGGAAGACATGCAATACTTGTGACATGGTAGGGTTTACATGGCTTCTAGCCTCCTTTAAAGAACAAGTATTTAGGTACCGGTAATACTTTTGTATAGTTTTGGCTTAACCACAGAATAAATGGTATGTCAATAGAAACTCCATATGTGGTCAGAATTATTGGCACCCCTGGTAAATATGATAAAAAATGGCTGTAAAAATAATTCTGCATAGTTTATCCTTCTGATCTTTCATTAAAACAATTGCAAAAAGTCTAACCTTTCAATGAAGTAAAAGAATTTAAAGTGTGTGTGTGTGTGTGGGGGGGGGGGTTACATTATGAAATGTTTTTCTACAAAACACGCTGGCCATAATTATTGGCACCCTTTTATTAAATACCTTTAGACAAGATAACAGCTCTGAGTTTTCTCCTATAATGCCTGATGAGTTCAGAGAGCACCTGACAAGAGATCAGAGACCATTCCTCCATACAGAATCTCTCCAGATCCTTCAGATTCCCAGATCCATGTTGGCGCTTCTTCTCTTCAGTTCACTCAACTCAACTCATCAGGTCAGGGGACTGGGACGGCCATGGCAGAAGCTACAATTTGTGCTCAATGACACATTTTTGTGTTGATTTTGATGTTTGTTTTGGATCAGTGTCCTGATGGAAGATCCACCCACAACCCATTATAAGATTTCTAGCACTGTGAAAGGGAAGTGTCTTACCGTGTCTCTATAAGATACACTGTATAAGTCTCTTGCATGTTGACAGCATTCTTGCCGGTCCTCTTCTCTGCTTCAGCCACACTGATCTCCATCCTCTTCAGAAGACTAGTCCCTTTTTCAACCATCTGTAAAATTTGATCCAGAAAACCATAATGTTTAATATGCATGTTACACCACAGTATCCTTATGATATTTTCAATGCAAAAAAAGCACAGGTATTTCTATGAGCAGATTTGTCTCATGTTTTGACATATTTCCAGCTGAATCAGGAAGTTTGGACACATCAAAGCACTCATCCCTTTTCAAAAAAATCTCTTCCGAAGTATTCACAATGTTTAGGTTAAATCTCCTGCTTTTATTTTCTCACAACATTATTTTTTTTCACATGCTTATAGTTTCGCTCAGTATGGGTAATATTATGGGTAATCCCCATCAGATACAAAAATAATGTCACAAAAAATTATTATTATAGACAATGAATTAATGATTGATTGGATTACACATGATGGTTTCAAACTGACTTTCAGCACCATGACAGACTAAGGTTTAGTTTCATAAAAAGAAAACCAAATTAAAAAGGTACATTTGTGTTAAGAACATTGTAGTAATAATTTGATTAATTTCTTAAAGTCTAAAATTATGCTATAAAAAATAAAGATAAAAGATATTGGACATATTTTGTACCATATTTCAAGCATCAACCCATTAAGAAATTCGAGTATGAAGCAGTAAATAAGATCTAACGATGTGTTGATGTAACGCCAATCTACTGACTTGAGCATAAATCAAGGATGCGGACTAACACATCAGATGACTGTATGATATACTGGGTGTTTACAAACTACGTGGCAAAGGCTCTTCATTGACAACATAAAGTAAAGCAACTTTCTACGTGTGTGCGGCTTTATATAATTATTGTTTACATAATTCACAAACACTGTAATAAAAAAGTGCAACAACATACATCCAGCTTATGTAATAGGTTCGCAGAACCTCATGATATTTTAGCAATATTGATATGGCCATTCATGAGCCAAAGCAAAACACTGCCGTCCCGCATATATCACGCGCTCGCACGCGCGACATCTACAAATCAGCACACATTATCGGCCACCCCGCATAAAAAGATTCTGTTACTGGGCTTTACCGTGTTCTTTAAGTTGTTTTCCGACTCCGAAGGAGTCAGATCTGTGTTTCCAATCACCGCTATATCTTCGCTTCCTGAATCCGCCATGGTTTGCCCGTCTCGCGCTTGCGCGTTGGCCACTTTCCCTGTTTCACACATAGACAGGTTTCACAGCAAGTATGTGCGCGTGCACGCGCGCGTGACAACCTATGGTGACAACAGTTACTCATAAAATAGCACGAATGTTCTAAAAAAAATCATTCTTTTGTTGAAATTATTAATACAATGATTTAAACTGATTAAATGGTGTACGGGTATGTCTCATTAACTTTATTAAGATGATTTTAGCGGATTATTTTTCCCACATTATTACCTGAGAAAACAGTTCGAGCATTAAGCATTTCCCAACTGTGTTCAAAAGTCTGTCATTATCTCGAAATTATTTGAATATAGCTATTTACATTTTGTGCAGCGTCACGACAAAAGTGCGGAATCTGTCAGTTTTGTATGGCTTAACTTTTTGTGGTGGGGGGGGGGGGGATAAAAAGCCTATAGCCTAGCTTTAGACCTATTATTATTATCATCATCATTATTATTATTATTAGAAAAAAGGAAAGAAAGAAAGAAAGAAAGAAAGAAAGAAAGAAAGAAAGAAAGAAAGAAAGAAAGAAAGAAAGAAAGAAAGAAAGAAAGAAAGAAAGAAAGAAAGAAAGAAAGAAAGAAAGAAAGAAAGAAAGAAAGAAAGAAATTAAATTGTAGTGCTTCTCACTACAAGCTGGACTGTAGTTCATTGTTCAATCCAATCAGTTCTCTGTATATTGTGAATCGTGCATTGATAAATGTGAGTTCCTGGGCGGATCCGCTCTCACTCACATCTGGATTAAAAACATCTGGATCCGCCTACACGGAACTCAGTCACACACACAGTCCTGAACTCTCTTACAGATGAGCTTATCTGTGTCTTTGACACGAGCAGATAAAGAAAATAACGGAATCGCTTCAGCAGTTTGGGATCTTCGGATCGTGAGATATTATGGGTCGCGGAGGCTGCAGTTTGTGGGCTCACACATCTGTTCTTCTGTGTTTCTGTCGTGAGTAGATCTTCACTTCTCTCGATCTGCTTTCGTTGACTGCATGGAGGCTCCACGCATCAGAGCTTTTGTCTTTGAGTTTGTGTGCAAAACTTCTTTTGACACTGAAGAGAATGTCTAATATATTTAAACGGCTACAGAAACAAAATCACACCACTGTAAATAGCCTTAGGATACAAAAAACTGGTTTAAATATCTTGGTTAAAAGTTTATTTACTCAGAAAAAAATACACAATGCTTATGGTGCTAACTAATTCTTTTGGTTTTCTGAGATACTGCAAATGCAGTAAATAATTGTATATTAAGGTTCATGTTTGATTTACTTGAACAATAAGCTACATTTTATAGTTTTATTGAATTGTGTGAGTTGAAGCATCATCCATAGTGATTTTGCCTCCTATTGCCACACATTTCTTATAAAGGTTTGATTGATGGATTAGTGCATTAAGAAATCAATGCTTAAATGTAGATTTTTATGTAAGATTATTTTATTGAATAAAGGTGAGGAAAAGAATTGTATAATCTAGTATTCTGTAATAAATATAAATATTACATGAATAGCCAATTAATTCTTGTTACAATCCTTAAAAAAATAAATTATGAAATTATGAAATGATTGTTAATGTAAAAAAAATCTAAAACGTATACCTCCTGAGGTGACGAAGGTCCAAACTATATAACTACATGTTCATCATATTTCTTGGGGTTTTTTAAGATAAGAGTCACAGTGCAGTGTAAAAAGTAGTTTTTTACACCAATGAAAGTCTTTGGATTTTCATAACAGTACTTAATATTGAGATCTGCATACATGATTGTGTTGTGAAACTGTACGCCAAAAAAATGGTCTTAATAAAAAACAGAATCTCTACAATGGGCATAAAAGATGCCATGCACTGTGACCGCATGAAAACAACACGATGCTAGGAAAGTTCCAACAGGGAAACCAAATCTTGAGAATCCAAATGATCTTATGGGGCCTCCTTAAAGGGTTTGGGTGTGTATAGAGTAGCTCCACTTACAACAACAATTATGAAATATTACCATGCAGGCCGAGAGAAGAAAACTACCACTTCTCAGTCTCACTTATCATATCCCATCTGTTGTTTGAAACGACTCTGAGAAAAATCTGGGAAATACAGAAAGGCTGCTAGTGTCAGTGTGTGCGAATGTGACCTCACAGAGAGACTGTACATAAAAATACAAAGACATCCATCTAGATCCCTTGATGCTTCTCTGCTTTGTCAACATGATTGCCCACAATGGCAATATTGTAATGACTTAAACAGAGGGTATGATGCTGAAAGGCCTAACCCAACCCCAGTGACCTCTCACTGAACACAGACTTTCTTTTTCTCCTTTGTTTGCCTCGAGTCCAAGAAGTTGTTCTTTAGTGGGCATGGGTTTGCATGGTACCTGTGGAGGAGAGGCATCTTGTTTTGAATTATGATAAAGGGTTGCTACTTATTACTTGGCATGAGAACATTTCGCTGACAATAATGAGAGATTGCGTCTCTTAACAATTAGTAATGGGGCCAGGCCCTTCACCCTCCTTAACACTGAAACGGCACTCATGGAGTGTGTGGGAGCCACAGTCAACATTAAAACAGCAACTTCTGAAGACATCTGTTTGTCATGAATGCGACAGTTATGCCAGTGCTGCTTTCACTGTACTGTTATGCATTTAATATCAGGAAATGCTTTCAGGGATCAAGCTGAGTTTAAAAGGAATTGGAAAAACTTGGAAATCTGCCACCCAGTGGGATGGTTTGATTACTGCATGGGGCCCCCGAAAATGTTTTATAGCATGCAAAGGTATATGGGAGGGGTAATATATATATAGTATATATAGTATAGTGTATATATATTTATATTACACGTGTAATTTTTAGATGCATAAGTCAGGTACCCACAGCAGATCTACTGTTTTATTTAAAACATATTTTTGGGAAATATATACAGATATATAATATAATAAAATATAATAAATGTAAAAATGTAATGTATATAGTATATACATACAATACAATATATATATATATATATAAATGCATTTATCATATTTTTATTTATTATATTATATTATTATAAAATTATATATATATATATATATATATATAGAGAGAGAGAGAGAGAGAGAGAGAGAGAGGGGAAGTTGACTTGACTTAAAAATATCGAAATATTATTTTACTACCATTTTACAAATACCAGTATAGAAAACTGCTACACACACACACACACACACACACACAGACTACATATTACATATATTCATTATCATACTTATAAATTACAAATAGGGTACGAGAAGGGAAACTTGCTTGAGTGCAAACTAAATAATTGCAGGCCAGCATCTCTTGTAAGCATGCAGCCATTGGTGTTCCCATAGGCACTGAGGGGTTGAGCTTCAAACTTGGCCAGTATGAGCATTTCTGGCTTCAATTTATTTCTGGAGCAGTTGCTGCAGAGTTTAATTACTTTAAAGTTTATGGAAGGGGGGCTTTTGTGCTTAGCCTTAAGTTTTTTTTCTTCAGTTTTTTCTCCTTTTCTCTGTTGTCTCTTTCTCCCTTCATGTCCCTCACTCCTTCATGCAAGAGCTCTCCCTCTCTCTCTCTCTCTCTCTCTCTCTCTCTCTCTCTCTCTCTCTCTCTCTCTCTCTCTCTCTCTCTCTCTCTCTCTCTCTCTCTCTCTCTCTCTCTCTCTGTTGTATATTTTGATGGTTGGCATCAGCGGACATCTGGAAGTCTGTGTTAAATATCTCTGCTCTTTCTTTTTTAATACTGTTTACTGTAAGGTCACTGCACTCCTTCAGCGAAACGGCTCCCACCCCTCATCTGCTTTTAATAAACAATTAATATTGTTGTGATGTGGTAGTATCAGGACAGAGGAGACCGTGTGCGTGGGAAGGAATTCAGGCTTATCCCACTTAACCACAGGAACTCCTGACACTCTCATGAATACACATGCTTTCAGTGATGTGTGCACCAAACCAAATACACACACCAGGCCATATACTACATTCATCCAAATTCAATTAGAGATTTATGAACTCCAGATGGGTCACGTAGCTCAAAGATTTGCTCTTAAATGCTGTCTTGATTGCAGCTGTCATTACAGCTTTCATTCTTATAACTTTGCATTGCAATCAGTTTCATCATTAGACAGTTTTGACTGCTTTTACTGCACGCTTGAGTTATTTGTGCCTAATAGCAATAAATAATTTTTCCTTGAGAGTCCCAAGGCCATCATCTATTTTTTGAAAAGTAGTTTTGGCCTGAAGTATTTTATAATGTATGGTTATACAATTATTATATGAACTTATCGTTATATTAACTAAACGTTAACTGACATTAAAGCTTAAACTTATTTAATTTCAGCTAGTTGCCGAAGCAACATTTCGAATTTTCATTTACTTTAACTTGATGTAGGCTACTAAAATAACTAAAACTACATCAAATTATAATAAGAACATCATTATATTTGTGTGCTTGGGACATGGATTTAATGGTGAGACTTTTGTTTTTGTAATCAGGCTTTCAAAAATTATTTAAAAAAAATTGATTTAGATTTATTGGCCAATATATCGGTCATCAGCTTTCAAATATAAAGAATTATCGGTTATCGGTATCGGGCAAAATTTTCTTATGGGTGCATCCCTATATAAAACAGAAGTACAAACTAATTCGAAGTATTAACAAAACTATAATAGCATCCCAATGATACATATTACCATTCTACACACCAAAGGGTAATTTAAATGGATAGTTCACCCCCAAAATCAAATTTATCTATGAAAAAGGCTAAAAAGGTGGTGGAAAAACACAAATTAATACATATACATTTTTACTATGTAATATATCCATGATATTTGTCATCTACCCAAAATCTTCAGAAAAGATTAAGAAAGAAATAGATTTTTAAAATATTGTGTAAACCATGAAATCTTATTGCCTGTCCCTTTTCCAGTTTTGCAGGCGCAGAGTTTCACCCTCATAAAGACCAACCTCTGTAAGTGGTGTGACAACTCGAGTCCTGTATGTGAAGACAACGTCTGCATGAGCA